TCGGCGGGTGGACGAGCGGGCCATGCCACAGTGGCTTGTGTTATTCCGCCGCGAGGAGGGAGGAAACCTGCCCCCTGCGCAGCGTGGGTGGGCCCTGGAGGGCGGTGGGCTGCGCGAAAAGCCGGGTGGAGAAAGACCAGCGCTGCACGACCCCCCTCGGACTTGCAACCTGAAAACCCGGGACTCGGACTCGTAGAAACAGCACCTGGGACGGCGTGGGGCGGGCTCTGGGGGGGGCGGGGCCGGCGGGGGTGGGCACAGACCAGCTGCTCCGAGAGGGTGGGCTCTGCGGAGGCTCGCGCACAGCCCGGCGGCTGGAGTTACCGTTACATACGTGAATGTGGCAACCAGGACAAAGGGATGGTCGTTCCTGGGGGGATGCAGGTGTGAGCGTCTGCAAACGCTGTGCCCTCGTAACTGACACCTGCGTGCAAGTTCGTCTGCATAAGCTGGGAGGGGGGCGCCCGAGCCTCGAAGGGCCACGGAGGAGCCGTCGCTGAAGAGGAGCGAGGGGAAGGAGCCCGTCGGAAGAGGCCACGTGCTGTGTGACTGCGTGACACCCTGGAAATGGCGGGCGGGGGAGGCGGTGAAAAAGCACCGCAAAAGCAGCACCAACACCCAGTGGCTGCTGGGGGCGGGGCAGACGGGGCGCCCAGGACGCGCCGGGGTCCTCACGCGCCTGCCCAAGCTCCCGACCTACGGCAGCGTGCCCTGATGTCACCGTGGACCCCGGGGGGATGACGACGTGTCCACATAGGGCCACCGGTCGGGACACGGGTGCCACCTGGCAGGGCGGAGGGGGAGGGTGCCTGTGGGGAACCCCTGGACGGTCCCCTCCGTGGTGCTGAGAACCTAAAGCCTCCCTAAAGCGTTTTAAGACGACGACTCGTTTCTACTGCCGTGAACGGGTGGAAACGGCCCGCGGCAGCCCCGCCGCTGAAAGCCCAACACGGCAGCGGCCGAGGACTCCGAGGCTCAGGTGTGTCTCCCGGTGGAAAGTCGGCCCCGTCGTACCCGCCGCGCCCGCCCCGCCCCATCCCGCGCGGGCGGAGACTCACGGGCGGCAGGGGCCGCGCAGGGGGCAACGGCCTGTCCCCCCAGCCCAGGAGAGTCCGCCTGGAGGCCTCAAGCTCAGGGGCACCTGCAGGCCCCGGGCCCCTCCTGCCTGGGCGGCGCGGGACTCCCCCCGCCCCGGTGCCCCGTCCTGCTCCCGCCCCCGCCCCGGGCCCCGGGCCCCGCGCGGGGGTGGAGTCCGCTTCCCGAGCAGGTCCCGCTGCGGCCTGAGGCCTGTCCTCCCAGGGCTGCTGTTCTGGCTGTTCCGGCCTTTCCGGCCGGCAGGCGCACCCCAGACGAAGGGCACAGGGCCCCGCATCCGGGGCCGGGGGAGCCCCACCCCCCGGGAGGGCGCGGCCCGCGCGCACGCTGCCACCGCGCGGGTGTGTCCACCAGGAGACGCGGGCAGGGGGCACCCGTTCCCCACCCGCAGGCGCCCACGCCGCTCGTGTGCAGGAGCAGCTCTGGGCCCGCACGTGGGGAGCCGGCGCTGGCTGCGGGGGCCGCCGCAGCTCTCCCAGCGCCCCGTCCGTCCTTGTCCTTGAGCTCGGACCCCTGAGGCGGCTCCCCCAGCCCTCACCTGGGGGCCCTCAGCCGTAGGGGCCGAGCCTTAGTGGCCTTGACTCCGGTGCTTCTGACCCACAGGGTCCTCAGCGAGGTGACCTAGAGGGGTCGTCACCTTCACTATGAGCCTGAACCCCTTGGCTGCGGCCTGAGATGCCGGGGTGGGGGGTGGTATCTGGGGCGCGGGGCGGGCTGTCCCTGTCCCCGTGACCCCTGCCCGGCTCGCTGCTCTCCAGGCGGGGGGCCAGCGTCCCCGTGGCCGCAGGCGCTGGAGGCCCCCACCCCCGCCCTTGGGGCCGGGGCTGGGGTTTACGTTCTGGCTGAGGCCCCGGGGCCTCACGCTGGCCCCACACGCTTCGCCGGGAGCAGAGGGCCTGGGAGCGCGAGGGCCGCGCGTGAGGCCGCTGATCGCGTGATGCTGCGCCGCTGTGCACACGCCCCCACGCACCGGCTTCCACACGCCACACGTGTGCGGGCCGCCCTGAGTCCTTACAGCTCAGCACAGCTGTCGCCAAACCCCGGGGCTCCTCACAGGAACCAGCGTGAAGCTCCGCCCCCGGGCTCGGGCCTGCAGCCCGTGGGGGCTGGGCCTGCCCGCCTCCTCCCGCCTCCCCTCTACTGCTTGTCCCTGTCACCAGAGGCTCCTGTCTCCATGGGACCCTCAGGTGCCCTGTCTCCCTGCCCTTTGCTCACAGGAGGCTTTTCCCTGACGGCTCTGTGTGCCAGGGAGTGTGCGCGCACCTGCCCCACCTCCTAACACGCCTCCATGTTTACGTGTGCGCACACGACACCCCATACACACCTCGCAGCTGCACTTCCTCCCAGCCGCCCGCCTCGAGCACACCGCCCGGCCTCCTGGGTCACACCAGGGTCCAGGGCGAGGGCAGGGGGTGCAGGGAAATGCACGTCACGATGGTCCCACGCATTAACGTGGCCGTAAAAAGACCGACAACGCTCGTTGCTGGTAAAATGTTTGAAAAATGAGAACATCAATAAGCTATCATTGCCGTGAGAACTGACCCAATAACCATTTTGGCAAAATGTTTCGTGACTCGTGGAATTATGAACTCTTTCTGAAGCAGAAATCCAATTTTGACATTTTAATCTGGAAAATAGTCAATATAAGAAAAAGAAGCCACAAGCAAAAAGACATTAAAAAATCGGTATCTATCGATTGATCAATCTGGTACAGATATAATATATATTAAAACACATAAACATGTATGTCAATAACATGATGTATGCTGTACATGAGCTAGAAACAGAGAGATCACCTCATCCTAAGACAGGTTTCTGCAAAACACACACACTGGACGCTTTCTGAATAGAAACCACAGCCCTAATTTTGAATGATGTGTAGGAATGTGGATGAGGGTTCGGGGGCCTTGCATGGAGAGACAGGTGGCAGCGCCACAGGCGTGACGCCAGGCCATGCGGGTCACGCCTCCCGGCAGACCAGGCCTCAGGAGCGGGCGGCGGGCGGCGGGGAGGGGCGTGTGGCTGAGCGACCCCTCTCGTCCTTCCTCCCGCGAGAGCAGGGGTGGGGTGGGGTGGGGGCGGCATCTGTCGCCCGGGCCCAGGGCCACCAGCCGGTCGCTCAGGGAAGGCCTGGAGCGTGTGTCCCGCGCAAGGTTCGACCCGTGTGTGTTTCTCTTTGGATTTTCGTGGAGAGACTCACAGCCCCACTCACACCTCCCGTGAACCAAAGACGCCAGACCACACGCTCTCTCACGGACGTGAAGGTTTTATTATTTCATAAAAATCACAGCAGTTTCCCTGCTGAGTGCCATTCACTGTCTGCCCTCGGCACTAAGCTGCTTTAACACAAGACCCATTTTACCTTCGGCCAAATTATGCGTAGGTGATAAAATAACTGCAGAAGCCAGAACATACAGCGTATAAATAAAGTGCGCTGTTCATTCATTAGAAGCAAAAGGCTTGTCCGCCGCGTCCCTTGATATATTAGCTACAGAAAGCGAGCATCAGCGAGTCAAGAAACAGAGTTCTGTCTAAAGGAAAGACAGTTCCTCCTTGATCTGCTCCACCAGGAGCTAAGTAAGAAAAAAATCCAAGTGTAAATCCTAGAAATACAGTGTTCTCACTTCAGGTGCTCACGGCGCGACAGGGACCTGCCTCTGAGTCACGAGGAGAAGCCGGGCTGGGCCGGCGCACGGGACACTCGCCACGCCCGGGGCTCTGCAGGGACCCCCGCGTCAGCCAGGGCGCCCCCCGCCCACCCCGGGGCTCTGCACAGGTGCGTGGTGCCGCCACGCGGGCTGGTCGGCAGGTGCACCTGCGACCTCTCCAGACGGACGAACAGCAGTTCACCCCCAGGGATGTGCCGCCCGCGTGACCCCTCCCGTAGCGGGGGTGCCTGGGGGTGACCGTCCCACTTGCTGTGAGTGGGGCGAGGGACATTAAGGAGGTGTCGGAGGATGAAAAAGATCTACCGGAGGCCATGACAAGCAGCCGTGTCGGCGAGAGGAAGGGGCTGGGTCCTGTCCCTGGTCACAGTGTCGAAGGACATTTCCAGTATCAAAACCAGTCTGAGCCCGTGCACACACGTTGCACAGCTGCCGTCGGCACCGCCGGCCACGGCGGGCTCCTGCGTCGCCTGCTTCCGCACAGCCCAGCGGCGTCTGGCTCACATCCACGGAGGCAAACCCCAGCACTCGGCAGGATCCTGGCCACACGGCCCGTTGCAACAATCCCGCGGCCTGAGGGGCCAGTCCACAAATTAACATCGGCTGGGAAGACACAGCGCCGGTCACCGCCCCCGCCCCGAGAGCCGTCCCCCAGGCGGGCAGCGGGCGGCCTTTGAGGCGACAGGGGGCCGCCCTCCACGGCAGCTGGCTCGTTCCACGACGACGCAGGAAAGCATTTGCGAGCGATGAGGGGGAAGCTCGTGAGGAGAGTCAGTCCGGCTGGGCCCCGGCGCCACCCGCAGAGAGCAGGCGAGAAGGCTGCGGCGCTGAAAGGGGGCGTCTGAAGGCCGACGTTGCGCCCGAAGCGTCGACAGGCGGCGGGGACGGGCTGAGAAGCTCCGGAGCCGCGGCGGCCCTGCAGCCCTGAGAGCCGTGGCCCAGGCCGGCGTCAGCGGGGACCCGGCACAGACCTCGCACCGCGGCGTCACCGGAGAGAAAGACCGGCTCTCGGCCTGGAGCCTGGTGACGCGGAGCCCGCCACTGGGTGACGTCGGGGGCGGACACGCTCCTCGTTCCCTGCCCCACACGCTCCATCTGCTCGCCCGGCCCGCGGGGGCGCAGCGGCCGTAACCCGGCGCGGGAACCGCCTCTGCGGCCCCGAGCCCCCCCGACCCCGCCCGGCGCAGGCGCTGCCGCCCTCCCGGCGCCCTGGCCCCGGGCCCTCGGCTCACGGGGGCGCAGGCCGGGGGCTGGCAGTGATGAGGGCGGGTCCGTGCGCCGGGCCGCGGGCCGCGCGGGGGCTCCGCTCACACAGGGGACAGGTCCACGCGGTGGGCAGAGTGGCTGCTCTTGTCCCAGGGGCTGAGCTTGGAGGAGGCCGGGCCGGGCCGGGCGCCGTTCGTCTGCGAACGAGAGAAGTGAGGGGTGAGGACCCGGCCCGGACGGGGGGCTGCACCAGCGCCCTCGCTGTCAGGCCACAAGGCCCCCCAGGAACGAGGGCCTTGAGCGGGAGGGGGTGCCCCCGCTTCCACACCCCCTCCCGGTTCTGGTGCGTTCACGGCATCATCCACCCGGCCATCCACCCCCCATCGTCTCTTCATTCCTTCGCGAATCTGCCCCCGGCTCCCCCACCCGCCCTCCATTCATCGGCTCACCCAGCCATTCGCCCGTCCGTCCGTCCGCCCGCCCTCCTGCCGTCGACTCCCTGACCGGTTCATGACCGCCCTCTCCCCGTCCGCTTGCGCAGTCACCCCCGTGGGTCTCCCGCTCGGGCTGTGACTGACGTTGGCCACGGGCTCGCAGCCGGGGACCCAGCCCGCCCGATCCTGGCCCGCGGGGTTCACAACCCGGAGCGGGAGGTGGACAGCGGCCGCCGAGCACAGGGGTGAGCGAAGCAGCTCCCGCGGGGCCCCATCGGCGTGTCAGACGCCGGCATCCTGGTCGGTTGATCTGTATGTCCTCCCGTCCCCTCAGGTGGTACAAAAAGTACCGACCCTGGGCGGGGGCAGAAGGGTCGTACGATCCCAGCAGGGACACAGGGCCGAATGTGGGCGTTAACGCCGGCCCAGGGCGCGCGCGGCCCCAGGCTGGGGTCAGGCTGAGAGGCTGAGCAAGAGCAAGCAGCGCGGGCCCTGCAGGCCGCGGAGCCCGGGGTCGGGGGTCGGGGGGCCGGAGCTCAGGGCCCTGAGGCGGAGGGCCTCTCGGTGAGTGGCTCAGCAAAGCAGGAACGCGGCTCCGAGGCCGCAGGCGGGACCGCTGTGCAGGTGAGCGAGGGGAGCGTCCCGGGATCCGGGAGGGTCCGCGGCGCAGGCCCCCGGGGGGGTGCGGCACAGAGTGTCCCACACTCACCACGTCGGAGCCGAAGGGCTTCGGGTGGGCACTGCGGCCGGAGCTGCTGCTGAGGGACCACACCTTGGTTTTGTGCTTGAAGGCGGCTCTCACCTGGGCGGGCGGAAGGGGCGCATTAGGGCCGCCTCGGAGGCGGGCGCGGCGCGGGCGCGGCCAGAGCTCAGCGTCACAGGCCTCTGGACCTGTGCTGGCCTGAGAGCCGGGGACCAGGCGCCGGGCCAGGGCAGGGTCTGGGGGCTGTGGCCCCCGGCGTCGCGGGCTCCCCGGCAGGTACGGACTCGGTGCCTGCGCCCGCCGTGTGCCAGTCCCGCGTGGGGAGAGGGTGGGGTCTGTCCCTCCCTCTGTGGACCGGGGGCAGGACGCACACAGCCGTGAGCGGCGTTGGGGCAGAGGGCGGCGGGGGCAGAAACGCCGCCGTGGTGGGCCACGGCAGCCCACCGCCACGAGGGCCCCGGCGCTGGCCCGGCCCGAGCGGCCCCCTGGCCTTTGCAACCACGGGACCCCCCTCTGCAGGCCACCAGCGTCCTCAGCGACACACCCTGCCCTCCCCACCCCCAAACCCCTCCCCACGCCCGACGGTCTCCACTGAAAAGGCCAGGGCGGGGGTTTGCTTCTTCCCTGTTTCCCTGTATCACCCCGGGGACATTTCCCCACGACCGAGGACCAGAGGCCGAGGAATACCGTGCGGAGCCCACTGTTTCAGGGCGAGACCTCCCGGGCGGGGGGCCAGGCCCAGAGCAGGCGCCACGCACGCCCCAGATGCACCCGAAGGACCAATCCCCGCCACCCATGGGGGGGCCCCTCCTTGCACCCAGGACAGTTTCCGGAAGGCTCTGGGGGCTCGGGAGCACGTGGACGCCTCACCCTCCCTCCTAGGATCCCGAGTCCCCCCGCCTGCCTCACCCCCCCACCCCCAGTCCTGGTCCCCGCAGGATGTCAGTGAGGGAGCAGGCTTGGAGGTTGCTCAGCAGCAGGAAGAGGCCGAAGGGTCCAGCGGGAAGTGGGCCCTGCCCACCACCTGTCCCCACACCAGCCTGACAGGGCAGCTCTGTGCCCGTTCAGAAATGAAAACCCGCTCCCTGTCGTCGGGAGTTGAGGGGCAGACGTACCTCGGAATTCAGGAGACAGTGGAAGAGGAAGATGAAGAAGCCCTGGGGAGGAGGGGGCAGCGTTAGAGCCGCCTGCGTTCCCTCAGAGACACAGCCCCGAGGTTCCGGGCGGCTCGGGCCCGGGGTGTGGCTGGGGAGCCGGGCCTGGGGGGCGTGCGGCAGTCCGTTCTGCAGGGACCGAGGCCAATGCGCCCCGAGTCCGGGCCCAGCTCCCACGCAGGGCTGCCCACGTGCCCGCTGTCCTCCCGCAGGCTCGGCCTGTGAACGGGGTCGCAACCCGGCCGGCCCCGTTCTCCCAGAGCCCTGGGGCGTGTTCTGTGATGCGGCGCCGCCCCCAAGCTTCGGGCCCGTAGGTGCACGCGCGGCAGGGAGAGAGGGCCCCCCCGCCCTGGGCCGGCCTGCCCCTCCACGTGCCCACCCGCAGCGCTGACGGCCGGCTCGCCGCTGCGGGCCCCGGGCGCCCACCTGCAGGGAGTTGAGCACGGCGAATAGGTACTGGAAGGCCGCCGCCTGCTGGTTGACCGCCAGCGCACCGAAGACCCAGGAGGTGCCCAGGATGGGCAGCAGCACAGCCACGGCCTTCGCTGTCAGCCTGCGAGAGACGGCGGGGACCCCGGGACTGGGTGGGCGGGCGCGCGCTGCGGGCCAGGAGGCCTCGCAGGGCGCTGCGGCTCCTGTTCCTGCCGCGGACGCGCACGGGCGTGGCCCCAGCCCAGGGTCCTCGCTCCTGCCCCCCAGGGCCCAACCTTCCGACAGGTCCCGAGGCTGAAAAGCTCAAGAGGCCGGAGCCACCTGTCGCTTAATTCACAGGATCTGGGATTCATTACAGGATAATGGCCTTATCGATTTGCTGTTGACATAGTACTGTTTTCCCTGCGGATTGGGAGTGATACACCGCCGCGCAGGCCACCCACGCGACGCTGGCTGCCTGTGTCCACGCCCTGCTCCCCAGAGCGGCCACCAGAGTCCCCGGGAGGAGCCCCCTCCGCACCCCGGCCTGTGGGGGGCGGTTGCCGACTGCACCCAGAGCCAGGGCGGACCGCGCGCCCGAGGTCCGGGTCGACGAGGGAAAGAGGCCACTGCCCCGAGGACCTGACCCCCTGCTGCAGCCACTTGGTCACCAGGAAGCGGGGTCCCGCGGAGCAGGAAGCCGACCCGAGGTCACAGGGCCGAGAGAGACGGCAGAGGCTGAGGCAGCACGGGCCTGGGTGGGCGGACTCTAGCATCTTCCTCGCCGCTCCACCCCCGGGAAGCAGCCCCGGGGGGACACCCAGAAGGCCCCTCCGCCACGAGTGGGGCACCGAGGCCGCGAGGGGGCTGGCCCTGGTCACAGATAAGGCGACTATTCTGCAATGAATCCCAAACCCTTTGAATGAAAGGGACGGGGGCGTTGGCGTCTGGGGCTTTTCAGCCTCTGGACACGCGGGGAGGTTGAGGCACCAAGTAGGGCGCCAGGCAAGGACGCTGGTCCAACACCCGCCAGGGTGACAGCGAGGACGGAGGGGGTGGCCTGCCCTCCTGCGCCCGAGCCGCCCCCGGCAGGCGGGGGCCCCGCGGCCGCCCGGGGGCCACTTACTTGAAGGCGCTGGGGTCCCCATGGACCTTATAGTTCTCGGCGCTGATCTGCGAGATGACCCTGGTCACAGCGACAAGGATGCCGATGTTGACCTGCGCGAGGGGCAGAGGGCGCGGCGTGTCTGGGAGGGCCCCCCCACCTGTCAGCTTTGGTCCCCCGCCCGAGGGAGGGCCCCACACCCTCCAAGGCGGCGGCTCAGGGGCTGCGACCAGGGCCTGGGACCGGGCCGGCGGGGCGGGGGCGGGGCACGGCGGGTGTGCGCTGGGGTCCTGGCCCCGTCGCGAGGACAACGCAGGCTTTTCTCCTTCGACAGGTGTTACTAGGGTTTCCTGTGAGCCCAGAGTTTGTCCCTGGCACAGGGACAACCCGTCAGAGAAAGGAGCCTGCTCGCAGGAGAGCGGCCGCCAGCTGGGGGCCCGGGACACAGGCAGGGGCTCGGCCGACCCTGGTCCCCGCAGGGCTCCGAGCGCCCTGACCGCGGGCTTAGAGGCCCCACTTCGGTCCCGGGAGCCACAGGACCTCTCGCTGTCTGTGGCTCGCAGGCTCTCACCGACCCTCCCCGACGTGGCCCAGGGCCCCGCAGCTCCCTGCCGGAGCGTGAGTGCGGTGGGCACCGCGGGAGGGTCGGAGCCCGCGGCCCGCACGGCTCCCCACCGCACCCACACTGTGGCCTCGCCTGACACCTGAAAACGCACCCATCTCCCTGGCGGGCGCGGGGGACGGGGAGGCCCAGCCACGGGGCCTGTCCCTCCTGCCGCCCTGCCTGTGTTTGGGGAAGGGAGAGGCCACACCCCCTGAGGGGACAGGAGCCACAGGCAGGGGTCGGAGGCCGACCTCCGCTGAGCCGCAGGACGCCCCCCCCGGAACCCCCCCAGCCAGCCCTGCGCCCCGGAGGGCGGGGACCTACCACGATGACCAGCAGGGCAGGGGCCACGAAGGCCCAGATGGCGCCACTCTGGAGCGAGAGCCAGCAGCTGCGGGGGGGGGGGCGGGGGGGAGGCAGAGGTCACTCGCGGCCCACCCTCCCCGCCCCCGCCGGCGCCTCCCGCCCGAGGAGTGGCCGGGGCCTGGGACCGCCCTCAGGCCGCACTCACTTGTTCTTGGTTCCGTAACTGTCCAGGGCGCAGACCACCGAGGTGGCGCAGATCAGAAGAGGGAGGCCTGGGGAAGGCGAGAGGGGGCCCGTGAGCGCGCGCCCTCGGACCGCGCTCGGGAGTTCGCCGCCTCGTGTTCCGCCCGCGACACGCGCACAGCCGGGCGCCGCGTGCGGACACAGCACGGCCGGTCCTCAGAGAACCTGCAGTCCGAACACAGAGGCGGCACACGCGCGCCCACGCCCACGCGGACTCTGAGGCGTGTCTCTTAGGAAACCAATTCCGTTTCTGCAGACCACCCGCGTCCGGCCGCTGGCAGGGCCGCGGGCCCTCAGGGCCGGTGTCTGGCCAGCTGCTCTGAGCCCCGCAGCCGCGCCCGGTGTGTCCGCGGCCGTCGCCGGCGCGGGTGACCGGGAGGCCCAGCCACGGGGCCTGTCCCTCCTGCCGCCCGCGGACCCTCTCAAGAGGACGTTCGATAGAACCTGCTCGGACAAGAAAGCTGCCTCTTGGTTATTCCTAGAATAAAAGGGTGGGGAAGGGTGAAAATCCGCAAAAACTCAGCAGCGACCCACAGTGCCCGCCCGGGGCTGAGCGTGCACGACCCCCGGAGGCCGCTGCTCTGGAGCAAGGAGACCGGCCCCTCTGAGCACAGCCGTGGCCTCCTTATCTGTGGGGGCGACACTCTAAGACCCCCGAGGGTGCCGGAACCGTGGACAGTCCTGAACCCTGTGCACGCGGGGATTGTTTTACCCCTCCAGACGCACCTACAACGAAGTTGAACTTGTGAGCCAGCACAGTGAGAGGTGAGCAGTGACAGGGACAGAGAGAGCAGCTGCAGCGACAACCCGCCGCCGGAGAAGCCAGCGCGGCACCGCTGGGACGAGCACCGCGGCACCGCGACAGCCGGTCCGGGCCGCAGCCCACGGGGGCGGGGACACCGGGCCCAGCACGATCCACGCCCGAGCTGGGAGGAGCCGGCGGCAAGGGCTCCGTGCCCCTCCTCGGAGCGGCGCGCCGTCGAAAACCGGTGGTGCTCGTCCTTGGAATCGTCCATTTCATATTTTTGGACCACGGTGGACGGCAGGTAGCGGAAACCCACGGATAATGGGGCTACTGGATCTGCTTCACATCGTCTCCTTGAAAAGAAGTGTCTCTCAAACCCTTTGTTTTGACGTCAGAAGCGTTCCGGTGCCTCCCAGGGCGTGGGGACACGAGGGCCACAGGGCCCACAAAGGAGCCAGGAGGCTTCGGGGCAGAGGCGGGCCGGCAGGGGCTGGGGGAGCGCACCTCTCACGGTGGACCTTTGTCACATTCACACGTGACAAAAGGTGCACCTTCTGCATGTGACCTCAGCCCCCGCGAAGGCAGAACTTCTCCTTGGTGCCAAACGCCTCTGGCTGCCTCTGGGGCACCCCAGAGCCCCCGGGCCGAGGAGGGCACACGGGGGCCGTCCTAGCCCCTGGCGGCCCCGCCTGGGGCAGGAACACAGGGCGCCTGAGGGGACGGAGGGCCCTGGGGGCACGTCAGCTGCCGGGGCCGGTGGCGCCACCGCCGAGGCCCGCGTGGGCACCGAGGGAGCCGGCTCCACGGGCCGTCTGTGCTCTGCCGGGCCACTGGGCGCACGCTGTCCCCGCCCCTCTCCTGGGCCTCTGGGACACTTCGCATCTCAGCCCCCTTTCCTCCTGAGCCCGACTGCTGTGACGTGTGCGGGGAGATGAGAAATCAGTAGCAGAAAAAACAACAAATTCGAAGGTGTGTGGTCATTAGCCAACACGCTGCAGAGCAATGAGTCAAAAAGGAAACCCAAAAGCACAGTAGAAACGGCCTTCAGATGAGTGAAAACGAAGCCCCGCGTCCCAAACCTACGGGACGCAGCCGAATGCTTGGAGGGACTTACAGCTGTGAGTGCCTCTCAGCAAAAGAAGGTGGATCGCACAGCAACGACCCCACGCTCTCCCGCGAACGTGCTGGGGAAAGAAGAGTGTGCTAGACGAGCGGCAAGCGGGAGGGAAGGAATGAAAGAGGTCGTGACCGAAACAGGCAAGCTAGAGAATAAAAAAATAATCAAGAAAATACATAAAACCAATAAAATCAGCCTTGGTCAAGTTCACCAGAATGAGTCTGAAATTCTGGAACTCCTGCTTTTGTGCGGACAATAGGGCTCTCCTACCATCTTGCTTCTCCACGGCGCAAAGAAGGGCAGGATGAAGAGAAAAATCGCCCCCCGCCCCCCGCCCCCACCCCAGCCCCTGCACCCACCCCATCCGATGCCGTAGTAGTAGCGGCGCTTGCTGTCCTCCGAGCCGAAGACCTTGATCACCATGCTGTGGAGGTGCAGCCCCTCAACCAGCATCCACGCGAAGGCGCTGAGGAAGAAGTAGTGCAGCAGCACAGCCAGCACCTGGCACGGGACCTAGGGTCAGAGCCAAGGGCGGGAGGTGAGCCCCCTCCGGTGTTCCCTGCTGGCTCCGCCTCCCAGCGCCCTCTGTGAGGCATCTTCTGGTCCCCGACCTGCTGGTCTTGCTGGGAGTCCTGGCCCCCATTTCTAGTGGCAGCGATTTGGGTCGGCATGCGACTCGGGGGTAACCGGTCCCTGCACCGTACTCCCTCCCAGGCTCAGCGACTGGTTCAGGAGGGCGTGGGAATCAGACCCAGCCAATCAGTATAAATATCACCCCCACAGCAGTTGGCTCAGGGTGGGCACGTGACCTGTGGCGGGTCGAGCCACCAGGGAGCGAGGGGTCCCTCCTTTCTCCAGACTCGAGGACAGGAGCCTGGAGCTTTGGAAGCCACCCTGCCCTGGAGGGGAGGCCTGTGGGAAGGGGGGGCTCGGACAGAGGAAGCGGCCCTGTGGTGGGGGCTCCCCCGGGACCCTGGAATCGCTGCCTGTCCACCGAAAGGCGCCAGCCAGCCCTGGATGCTGAGTCTGAGTGTTGTCTTCTGTCTCCCTGGTGGGGCCCTGGCCTGGCTGTCAGGATTGGGGGGCGGGGGGCGGGGGGAATGTCTGAATTACGGGTGGAAGAAGCGTGTCCTGCAGAAGGCGCCGCCCCCGGGGCGTCGGGGCGGCGGAGGGCCACTCACCGTGCCAGGCTGGCTGTGGAAGCTGGCAAGCAGCAGGGCCTGGGCCACCAGGATGGCGAAGGACAGGTTGGCGTGGATGTGGTAGCGCTGGTTCCGGATGGTGCTGACCGAGCTGAGGGCGGAGGGCAGGGGTGAGGCCCGGGGCCGGCCGGCCGCCCCTCACGGTCCCCCGAGAGCCCCAGAGGGGCCCTGGGGAGCCGGCCCTGGCGCTGCCACTCGCGTCCGTGGGCCCTCGGCACAGCCCCGCCCTGCTGAGCCCTTCCGCCCCGACCCCCAGCCTCGGGCCTCCACACCAGCCGTCCCACGGAGGCCGACCTCCACCTGGGTGCTGAGTAGCCGCTCAGACGCCCCTGCCCGGGAGGGACCTCCACGTCCTCCCTCTCCGATCGCGGCTGCCTGGCGCTGGTGGCTAGGAAGTGAGTGTCCGCGCCTCCCAGCCCTTGCTCACGGCTGGGCCCCGCGCAGACACACTAATCTACCTCGGCACAGCTGTGTCCCCAGAGCTGGGGGAGTGGGGGCTGGGCTGAGCAAACGCTGAGGAACCAGGGATGAGACTCAGCGTCCTGGGCACCGCGGGGCGACCCTCCAGACCCACACCTGTCCTCCTGCCTGGCTGGGTCCCCCAGGACCCCCTCACGTGCCCCTGTGCACCTGCCCGCCTCAAGACTCCCGGCCAACAGCGCGGATCCCAGAGCCGCAGAACCCCCAAGGTGCTGGGCAGGGGAGGGGGCGCGGGACCCTGGGGGACCCACGCAGCCCCGGGGGCCCCCGGGGGTGAGTGACACGCAGCCGCCCTGGGGAGAGTGGCTTCACGGCGCTCAGACACACGCCTCCCGTTTCCCTTTTTCGGTCCCCACAAGTTGTGGCCGCCTGATGTCTTTGTGGGGGTGGGGGGTGGGGGGACGTCCTCCTGGCTCTCGCCTGGACTGTCCCCCGTGGGACCTTCCCGGACGTTCCCAGCCTAGCTAAAGCCGGGGCCCCCAGCCCCCCAGCCCCGGGGTCTCTCCTCCCCCTCCCCGCACCCCCACTGTCTGCTCCCTGCACCCCAGATCTCAGCACGGGACACGACCAAGAGCAGCCACCCAGCTGTGATGATGAGGGTCTGGGCCTTCGCCCGCTCCCGAGGTCCAGGGGCAGGGGGCGTCTGCGCTGACACAAAGCCACCGGGCTTCCCGCGGGCGCGCGGCGGGGGCGGGGACTCACGAGAGCATGGCGAAGGTGACCAGCGTGACCGCCAGGCAGAGCACCGACAGGGAGCAGCCGATGTAACTGATGGACGAGAGCGCCACCTGGTGTTCGCGCGTGAGCTGCGGGGAGAGCAGAGCGCAGGGCTCGGCGGGCTGGCCCGGCCAGCGCACAGCGGAGCACGAGGCAGCCACTGTCCGGTCGCGAATGCGCGGCCACCTCCAAGCCCTGGTTCTCCCCCTAATGTCCCGTTGTTGCCACCGACAGAGGTCCCGCCCTTGGGGCCAGCCCTCAGTTTTGTACCTTTCAAATGCTCCACGTGGCTCGGCTGCGCTCAGGCGCCCCACCCCCCAGCCTCCCCCTGCTACTGCCTGCACCGCCCCCACCCCCGCGGCACCGCCCGCCGCTCCGCGCCCCTGTCCCTTGTCTGGGCCGGGCATCCACAGCCAACCGGGGGCGCTGGGTTCACCGAGGAGTCTGGACCCAGGAGCCACAGGCCAGGCTCCAGCCCTGGGTGACCACGTCCCGGCGGAGGACCTGCGCACCGGGCACCGCCAGCGGCGCGAGGAGACAGCGACCGCACCGGCGCGGGGCTCAGGCCGTGCGGCGCGCAGGCGCGCTGTGTGAGAGTCTGCGGCGGACTTTGTCCAGGCCCGCGTTGCACTGAACAGGCCACATCGAACGCGGTGATTCACTGGCAGATGCAAAGCCACCAAAGGCGGCGCCAGGAGCCCGTGCTTTTCAAAGGCGGGGCATCTGGTCCAGGGAAGGGTCCTGGGGCTGCATGCGTGCAGACGGGGAGCTGTCGGGGGGCCCTTGCAGGGACAGGCCCCCCAGGGGTGGGAGGCGAGCGCCAGTGTTTGGGGCTGGGCGGTGTCTGGCGCCCGTCCCGGGGGAGAGGGTCCCCCGCGTCACAGTCGGGGAGCCGAGGCTCAGAGCAGGCACTGCCCAAGGCCACACAGTGTCCGCTGTGGGTGCAGAGGCAGCTCCCCAGCCAGGGCACAGAGCCGCGCGCAGTAGGTGCTCATCGGAAGCTGCCTGAGCAATGGCCCGTGCGTGCGGAGAGGCCCTGCAGGGGGCCCGGCCCCTTCGTGCTGCGCCACCCGCCCGCCCCCACCCCCAACGTGGCTCCGGCGCCTCGGTGCTGGGCCGCCCGGAGAGCCCATCCGGCCTCCTGGCACGCGGGCCGGGCCGAGGGGCTCCAGGCGGCTGCTGCAGCCGGGCCCTGTGACCAGAGGTCAGCGTGGACGTGGCCCTGGGAGGGCCCGGGAGGCGTGCTGTGCCCCAGCAGTGGCCTTTCCTTCCCAGCCCGCGGCTGGATTTAGAAGTGCCCAGAGGGGCCGGGTTTGCTTCAGGACACGGCGCCTCTGAGTCAGAGACCACAGGTCCCAGCGCCGCTGGGGGCACCGAGCACAAACTGGGGCCAGCCGGGGGCACGCGGACGCCGCGGCAAGTGGGACCGTCCTTCAGAAAGGAAGCGTCTCTCTCTCCCTTGTTCTAACAGGAGCCCCTCTCAGGGAATGCGTTTCCTGCTCCCCCCCCCCCCCCCCCCCCAGAGAACAGGAAACGTCCTTGCATCTCCCTGAATACGGAATGACAATGCCCGCCAGACCGTGCCCCCAGGAGGAGGGCGTGGGGACCACGGGCGGGGGGGGGGACACCCAGCACCAGGGCCCCGCCTGCAGGGGCAGTAGCTGCACGGGAAGACGTGGGTGCCCTCGTCTTCATTTTTTCAAAAAAGAAAACCAGAAATTCAAAATTTCAGATCATATATCTGAGTTTTGAACTATCGGCAGCTATTTTTTTCAGCCTGTGTGGGCTGACACAGGCCCACTGGCCAAGGCCAGGCGACCGAGCTCGCTGACCATCCCCTTCCCTGCGGCTGCGGCCCCGCCCCAGCCTCCGGCCGGCGTGCACCCGCGTCCCCGTCTGCTTTCCCTGTCCTGGCACAGCGCTCCCGCTCCCAGGACGGCCGCCGCGCGCCCACCAGAGGCACCGAGGTGGCCCGCCACCTGCCGGAGCGCAGCCACGCTGCGTGGGCTCCGGGACCCCGCCCGCCCCCGCCGCCCCCGCCGCCTGCAGCCTCGGTGGCACCGAGGGTCATTGCTCCCCCGCCCCCACCCGACTTGCCCTTCCACACAGCCATGCCTTGGAAATCCCTCCAAGTCAGTGGCATAATCAGAACTCATTCCCTAACAAGGGCATGTTAGTTCCTGATGGACCGCCCCCGCCAGCGAGGAGGGGCCCGGGCCCACGTCCCGGAGGGGCACAGTCCTCCGCTCGCGGCCCCCGGGGCTTCTGCTCTTCCGCTCTTTCCCCGGAAACGAGGCTGTGAAGCCTCCTGCGCACGCCCCCTTTACGTGTTCCCTGGCTTCCTGATTCCTCAGCTCGATGACGCAGATTCTGACGGAGGTGTCAGCGGTGGCAGGCTCTGTCCTGGCCACCGACTCGCCTGTCCCCACGCCCGGGACAGAGCTCAGGGAGACGCGGCTCCTGTCGCGGAGCTCGGTCGCCCCTGCCGCTGGCGCTGGCTCTCGGAAGGCCGCGGATTTGCTGTCGACTGAGATGACAGCTTCTTCTTTCTATTTTTTTTTAATCATTCATGAGAAGGTTTGTTTTTAGCATGGATAATTGTAAACCATTTCCAAGCTGACCTTTCCTGGCAATCAGTGGATAGGATTGGCTTCTACGAAGACACCCACAGGCAGCCTAAATCTGGTCACAGGGAGTGGGGACAGATTTGCAATCATAAAGGGTCCCACTGGCTTTTTTTAGCTTATTGGACAGAGCGGCCTCCCTCCCATTGGCTGCCCCGCCCCCGCCTCTCCCCACCCAGCCGGCCCACGCACAGGCACCGGCCGAGGGAGCCGGCGGCTCCAGCTCTCAGAGTGCGAGGGACCTGGAGGTGTTCAGGGCCAGGCCCTGCCCCCGGTGACCTCGTCTGTGACAGTAAGGACGGCAGCCCCTCACTCATGTGGGAGCAGCTGCTCCCCAGACATCACCCCCTCAAGGAAGTGCCCCCACAGGCGGTGTAGGGGGGTCGCGTGTACCTGAACCGAGATGCGCCGCTCGGGGCGCTGGGGGAACGGGGCCCCCACCTGAGGCCTGATCGCAACCCGTGCTTCCGCGGCGCCCCCCGCTCTGGGCCCGCAGGCGCTGTGAACGCGCGGCTGCGCCGCGGGCTGAGTCAGGGTTCCAGGAAGCCGGCCTGCCTCGCTCTTTAAAAAAATTCTTTTTTTTATTCTCATCTGAGATGATTTTTTCCATTGCTTTTATAGAGAGGAAAGGACAGAGGAACACCGGTTGGCTGCCTCCTGCACATGCCCGGACGCGGGGTCGTCGCACTTGCGACCTCTGGGTCGCGGGGCCGGCGCTCCGACCAGCTGAGCCCCACTGACCAGGGCTGCGCATCCCGCTCCCAGGGGAGCTCGGGTGCAGGGCACGGGGCCGCCCTCCCGGCTCCGAGCCCCCGGCCGTGCGGCGTCTGTGCCCGCGCGAGACGGGACTCGGCTGCAGGGGCCTGGCTTTCCGTGGACGCGGGACAAAGGTTCCTGGGATGAGCCCTCTGCCTCCCCCGCCCCTGGGCCCGGGCGGGCGCACCGAGGAACTCTCAGGCCGGCAGGAGCGCCTCTGCCCCCTCAGCCTGAGGCTCCCGGGCAGGTTCAAGGGCCGGTTTAGAAGGGACGCCAGCAGGTCATCGGAGGCCCCTGCCCACCGGAGGGGCTTGCGGGCTGCAGCTGGAAGGCAGGCCCCCGCAGGCTCAGGAGGCCCAGAGGCTTGTCTGCCGCCCGGCACCTCCGGTGTCAGGGCGGGGACGCTCAGAGGGCTCCGTGCAGGCACCCCGCGTGTGTGCACCTGTGTGTCCCACGGGGACACCCCCCCGGACGTTCGCACACGGGTTGTCATCGAGGACCTCGCTCGGCCGGACTCCCGGCGGCACAGGACCTGAGGCTGAACATGCTCGCGTGCCCACCCGCCTCGGGGGACTGCGGTCTGCACGGGGTCCGCCGGGACACCTGGAGCCAAGATTGCTGTTGCCCGAGAGGCAGAGCCTTGCGGATGTCCCTGATCACAGGGTCTCGCTGTGCAGCGGCCCCCCGTCCGCCCCGAAGGCGAACAGCCCCCCACCCCCGCTCCGCCTCCAGCCCGACGTCGAAAGGGCGCCCCCTCAGGGTCGGGCTCTTACCTCCAGCGGGACCACCTGCATGAGGATGGCGAAGTTGGTGAGGTGTGTGCAGCGGCAGACGGAGTAGTTCAGGTTCCCTTCCACGAGGACACAGCCCTGGTTCGACCAGACCCCGGGCCCGGAGCTGTGGACGCACGGCCAGGCGGTTGGCGGGAGCAGCACGCGCCCTGGCCTTGGGCGCGGAGCCGTCCCCAGCAGGCGCCGGGAGCCGATCGGCGCCGGGGCCGGGCAGGCCCAAGGACACAGGGGCTTCCTCCGCGGGAGGGAAGCGGCGCCATCGCTGGGCCGCCGACCGGGAAAGGACGAAGTGCGACGGCCCAGAGTCCCTTCCAGGGCGACTCCGAGGTCCCCGCGCAGGGACGCGCGGGTGATTCCTGAGAGACGGGGACACCCGAGGACAGAGCAACCGGTGGGCACCCTGGGGGGCGGCTGCACAGAAGGTGGGAGACGTGGAGACGGCCGGATGGGTGCTGCCGGGCGGGGGGCCGGGGGGCGGGACGCAGAGGGTCATGGGTCATCGCGTCCAGCGCATGAAACGCAGCGCGTGTTCTCCTGAGCAGAACGGTCAGCCACGCGCATCGCTGAGAAAGCTGCCCCGAGCACCAATGTCCGGGCGGCCTGGGCCCCCGGCACACAGGCGGCCCCCGCCCCCCGGCCCCGCAGACTGTACCTGAAGTCCAGGAAGGCGCAGTACAGGAAGACGCGGTGGCTCTCATCGGCGGCCTGGCGGCACTGCCGGTCGGTCTGAAACAAGGGCAGGGCGAGCCTCGTGACGCGAGGTTCCCGGCGGCCCCCGCGCCCCCACCGCTGGCCCTCCCTCTCTGCTCCCTGTGGTCCGCGAGGCCCAGCCGCAGGCCCCTGCACGTGCTGCGCCCACCCCTCAGGGCGCTCGGTCCCCAGGGCACCCTCACGGCCCCCAGGCCCCTCGAGAGTCCCCGGGAGAGGCGCCTGGAGTCAGCTGTTCGCCGTCGCGCAGCCTCAGCCGCTGCGCCGCCTGCTGCACAGCCACTGATTGGCTCGTCTCCCGTCTCCCGTCTCCCATCTTGAAGGTGCGTGCGGTGAGCCTGTGGCTGTCTCCCTCACTGCTGTTCCCCAGGGCCTGGCACACAGCAGGCGCTTACTAAGTACTTGCTGAACAGAGGGACAGAGGAACGAACGGTCGGTGGACCCCTGACCCTGTTCCTGGGGCTGCCACTCTTGCCTGAGAGGTTGGGCGTCGGACCCTGGACTCCGGGCGCCAGCTCAGGGCACGCAGTGGCCACCCCTCTGCCCAAACGAGATGCAGAGCCCCCTCCAGAGGCCGACACCGGAGAGGCTTGGGGACCCCACAGCCGCCCCAGAAAGCGGGCTGTTCGTAGAAGGAGCGTGGCTGGCCGGTTCCCACCGCCACGCCGAGCACCCCGACCTGACTGCCCTGGGCATCTTCTCGCCTCTGGCGCTGCCGCCGGGACCCAGGCGGGCCCTTCCTCGTCACCCTATGGTGGCCGCCACTGGCCCGCCGAGCCGCGCCCCCGCAGGAACCTCGGCGTGGCCCTCCCTCCGGGAGCCGCCCCTAGCGCGTCCCACAGAAGCTCTGCGCTCCCCGGGGTCAGCGCGGCCAGGCCCGAGGGCTCCTCCATCGCCCTTCCTTCGCGCGTCTCCTCTGATCATCCCCTCGGCCGCGTACAATCAGATTAACGCTATTGCCTTTGCCCCTTGTGCCTCCCTCAGCGCCTCAGGGTTATTAACTGCACCGCAGGGTCTCTTAAATCGAGCTGTCAGCCCCTTGGCCAGAACGTCCCTCCCTGAGGCCCTGTCTGGTCCCTCTAATCGTTGGTTTGGTGGCTCCCTCGGCGAGGCCTGTCCATCAGTCTGCCACCTGGGCCCTCCCCCCGGCACAACGCTCCCCAGGCGGTGACTCTCTGTGTCGGAACGGCCCACACCCGGGGCCGCACGAGCCGGCTCCTGCGGTCGCTCAGGGGTGCTCGCCGTGCCAGGGGCTGAGGGAGCGTGAGTCCGGGGGCGGGCGGCTGGTGCTGGTTCCTCAGAGACGCTCCAGAGGGGACAGCTGTCTGACAGCTGGCCCTGCGGCTGCAGAGTGGGGCTCAGAAGCCAGAGGGCCACCCGTCCCTGAGCCCATGCCACTCAGCAAAGGAGCTTCACTGAACCCGGAACCCGGCAGAGGCTCTCAGAGCCCAGAGAACACAGCTCTGGCTCGAGAGCCCACAAGAACGCCGGCAAGGCCCGAGCCTGCCTTCCTTCTGACCCTGTTCTTCTCGGCTGCGCCCACGATGCCCCCCGGGACGCCCCGGCTGCGCCCCTTCCTGTGATCACACAGGAGGGCGGTTCCCACGGCCGATCCGGGGCCCCAGAACCAGAAACTGGGGCCGGGGGAGGGGCGGGGGACGGCAGCCCAGCTCTCAGAAGCCTGTCCGGTGACGACGCACGTGGACCTGAGACCCACCGAAAGCCGAGATGCCGCCCCTTCCGCCCCCTCTGTGCCGGTGGAGGCGGCTGTGACTGTGTGCTCAGACGCGGGAGCCCCGCGTCGGCAGCACGCAGGATGGCACGCTATCAGCGGCGGGGGAAATGGAGGCGCGAGCAACCCACAGAATCGGAGCTCAAGCAGGCACCTGGCCGGGGCCCACCCCGTGTGGGCGAGGCTCCCCAGCGGTGGCCCGGGCCCTCACCGCGACCCCGCCTCGTGCTACGCCTCTTCCACGAGCAGCTGCGTGCGCATGCTGCTCGGAGTGCAGGAGGGGCGTGAGCACCAGCCGGGACCGGGGCCCCCAGACCTGCACCCCCAGAGGCCCTGAGGGCTGGGACGCCCCGCGCTGCCTCCCCTTGACCTCTCTGAGCCAGCCCCACCCTGATGGGGGAGTGACCGACTGCTAGGAGGAGGGCTGAGGGCGGAGGGCGGAGGGCGGAGGGCGGGCGGGGCTCCCTGGGCCCGGCCAAGGCCACGCCCGGCCTGGAATCTCCTGCCCTCGCGCCCTGGCCAGGTCAGCTGGCCTGCTGCCGCTGGGGGAAGCGCAGAGCAGCTCCCCGTGCGTGCGGAGCTTGGCACCCGCCCGAGCGACGGCCCTGCCTGGAAAGTCCCCGGGGCACCGTCTGGCCTGTCACCCCAGAAGGGAAGAGAAGAAGCTGCACCGAAAACACAACTTCAGCAAAATCTGCCCGGTCTGCCCCGCCTGCCTCGCCCCCACCACCCCGTCCTCCAGCCCTGACCCCCAGCTCCGGGCCGGACTGCCCAGCGCGCTGCCCTTGAAGGACTGGGGTGGGCGGTGGTCCCCGTCAGTCACCCTAACGGGGCCTCGCTTCCCATGCCACAGGTTGGAACTTTTCCTGCAGCCAGAAGGCCTTCCTGAGCCATTAGCTGCAGTGTGACCTCGAGCTGTGTCTGGAAGCAGAGCTCGCAGTGGGGGCAGGTGACGCGGCCTCTGAGCACGTCTGGCCCTCAGATGGGAGGAGGAAACACGGTGTTCACAGCACAGACGGCAAACCGGCTCTCCGTCGGCGCCGCCGGTGGGAGGACTTGCTGATAATCAGGAAATTCCAATTCCCGGCTGGCCCGGGCCCTGCCGGCTTGTCTCAGCGAGTGGAATGGTTTTATCTTTATGCAGATAATGGGATGGGTTTAAAAGGTCATAAAATTCTGATCTATTTTACAGCCCGACTCCGAGGCTGTTAATAATAACACATCATATTTATGGTCTCTAACCAGCTTACAAACCACATTAAAAATAATGTTATTTTCCATGAAAAGTGAGCGATTTTACCTAGAGAAGAGAGCAGGGATTTGGAAGCACACCGTTTGCACTCTGGGCCCAGCTTGGGGGGCTGCGGGGGAGGCCGGGCCTGTTCTGCGGGGGCGTTGGGTCGCTTATTTCTGTCCCTCTCGCTCCTCGCCCACTTCCCACTCTTTGCTACTTTATTTTACAAGTTCTTAAGTAAAACGGTTTAGTGCAAATGTCTCTAGGCCTGAAACGCCCACATTAAAAAGAAATCCTTTTCTTAAGATAATCGCGCATACATAAAGCCTTTCCCCTGAAATTCTCTCCCACGTATTAAAAGACAGCTTTTCAAAAGGTAATACCGTGGCTCTCAAACCGATCTAAAGGGAAACGTGTCCAAGATGTGACTTAACTCCTTAACGGCCGAGGTGACGGAGAAGACGTTAATGCGATATCACGTCGGGGGAGCCCAGAGTCCTGCCTGCAGGGGGCTGCCAGGAACGCAGGGACGCATTCGCTCCACGGAGACAAAGCTGTCAGAGCAAGACGATGTCCCCAGGGACAGTCATTCCACGGGCTCCCCGTCTCTGCCGCGCAAACTGTGCATTTCAGCGTGAACCCCCAAACCGAGCAGGCCAGAGGGGGCGGCGGCGCTGCCCGCCGGGCTCTCCTCCCAGGCTCAGGCCCGGGCCCGGCCGCGCTGCCGCACTGGCCTCGGGCGCTGGGACGCAGAGGCAGCCGGTCCCCAGCCCGCGGCCGAGCGGAGCCACTGTGAGCAGACGGGCTTCGGAGGGGGGAGCGCAGCCCCGGACGCACGGAGGTGACGTGGGAGGAGAGGCGAACGTGGAACAGAGGAAGCGGGGCAGGGGCGCCGAGCCGGGGAAGGCGGCTGGAGGGACAGGGCTCGGAGCAAATGCAGTGCGTGGCAGGGACGGCCGGACGTGTCAGAGCCTGGCCCGCGGGGCAGCAGCCGGCGACGGGCGTTCTGGCCCTGGGCACGGGCACGGTCACGCGCAGCGTCCTGAGGCTGGCGGAGCCCCCAGGCGTGCTGCCTGACGACAGGGGTCCGGGTGTGCTGGACCCGGCTCCCGACGCGCGCGGGGCTGGGGGCGCTCTGTCCCCTGGGAGGGGCTGTCGCCCAGGCAGGTCCCGACGGTCTCCCTGCCCTCACACCTCCCGCCTGCAGCTGCTGAGCAGCTCACGGAAGCACAGATGTCGTCCCTGAGTCAGGCCCTTACAGCCACCGAGAAAGAACAGCGTCCTTGAGCCCTGTTGTTCCGGAAGCTCCGACTCCGGCCCCACGTCCCTCAGTTCGCCCGGCGAGTCGTCCCCCCTCCCGTCTCCTTCTCCCTCCGTCCCCCGCTGCAGCCCACGCCCCCGCGGTCTGTCAGCCGGCCGCCGGCACACGCCATGGCCGCCAGGAGAGCCCTGGAAGCCCCCGTCCCCTGCTGCCCCGAGGCTGTGACGAGGACGGGGCAGCTGCTCTGCTCCCCGGGGGGCCGAGCTCAGGGACCGTCGAGAAGACGGAGACCGGAACATGGCGTGAACCCTGCTGGTCAGCGGCCCCGGGCCTCTCGGACGGGCGGGCGGGAGCCTGCCCAGGACAGACCTCGCGCAGGGTCCCGGAGGCCTCCTGCTCCGTCCCTCCTGCACCAGAGCCCCCATGTCCCCCGAGCCCCCTGGTCACAGAGGCGCGGTCCTGCCCGGGGCAGGCAGTGAGCTCAGGGTCCCGCGAAGGCTCTCCTCCCCTTGTGTGCGGGCGGCCACCTCCGGTCGGCTCGGCTCCCGAGGCCCCTTCTCTGCCGGTCTCTCCTGGGATCATCGGGGGTCTCTCCTGCCAACAGAGGCCAGGAGGGGTTGGCCCTGGGCTCCACGCGCACTGGGCCGTGACAGATGTGACTTCTGCGGCATGAGGAGGAGGGGACCCCAACACGAGGCGTTTAAAGCACACAGGTGGGGGAATAATGAGTTTGGAGACATCCACAGGCAAGTTTCCGTTCATTCGCAGCCCCTGGAAGGCAGGCTCTCCTC